GCTTGGGGGGGGTGTGAGGGGACAGGGACGCGCAGGGGCTCGTCCTCAGTCCCCGTCCCCAGGAGACCAGGCTGGAGAAGCATCTCGCAGAAATGAAATCCTGTGCCCGGCGCCAGAAAGCCGGCTGGGCACACGGTCCCATCCAGCCACGGCGTCCCCGCGTCCCCCACCTCCGTGGCTTTCCGTGCAGCTCGCCGTCCCTCGGTCCTGTCCCGTCCGCAGAGCTGGTGGCTGTGCTGGTGACAGCTGGAGTTGAGCACAGGTGGGGCGGCACCGGGTTCACCCCTGTCCTCCCGCTGCCCGGCGGTGTCCTGGAGCCCAGCCACTTCTCGGGGTATCAGCTGCCTGTCAGTGAGAGCAATAAATACCCTCGTCTGCGTTAGGTGTTTTAAGCCCTTACCTGCACAGAGGTGGTTTATACAACGCTGTTACTCTCTGATTAAATGCTTTTATCATTAAGAAATGCGAAATCTTCTTCCCTTCCATGGATAAGGAAGAATTGTGATTTACTGGGTCTTTGTGCGGGGAGGTGTGTGGGATCTATCCCTGCACCTCTCCATTCCCATGGTGGTTTGTCTCTTCTGCTCAGATTTTTGACCCGCCGGAGGAACTGGAGAGGAAGGTGCGGGAGCTGGCGGATTTGATCAGGAGTTCCTCCAATGTGGTGTTTCACACGGGGGCTGGAATCAGCACCGCCTCGGGGATTCCCGACTTCAGGTAAGGACGGTGGCACCTTCTCCGGGTCCATCTCGCATCTTGTAAAGCTCTGGACTGTGCTTTCTGCTACCCCAGCCAGACCTACTCCATCCCTCCTGTCTGGTCCTGGATCCAGCTGAAAATCCCCTTTCCCTCTTGCACACCCGTCTGACGTTAAGCCGTGCCCACAGAAGCCCTACATGGGCTCTGCTTGCATCAGTGACAAAAATGGCTGGTGATACACGACCTTCATTTAGCAGTGCCTTGCTCAGCCTCCATCGAGAGGGCTCGTGGTGCATTTACAGCTGTCTTCTCAGAGCCTGAGATCTCAATTCTCACTCTTTCTGTCCCCATTGCTGCAGGGGGCCCAATGGTGTCTGGACTATGGAAGAGAAGGGGCTCTCCCCAAAATTTGACACCACCTTTGAGAATGCCAGGCCCTCCAAGACTCACATGGCGCTGCTGGGGCTGCAGAGAGTCGGCATCCTGAAATTCCTGGTCAGCCAGAACGTGGACGGCCTTCACGTGCGTTCAGGATTCCCACGGTACTGCCTCTCCCGCCCTGTCTCCGGGTCCCTCACGCTTTCTCCAGCCGCTGCCACGTGGCTGTTCTTGCTGCCTGATTTAGCGTGGCCTCGCGTGCAAGCGTTTGATGCTGGGGCTTGATTTCCAAGGCTGGCTTGGCAGCTGTCTGCCCACTGATAGGGGGAGCGGAAACTGGGATGCGCTGGTGTGGGAAGGGGTACGTAAGCCAGCTTGAATTTAGAGCAGAGAGGTTATGGTAATAATTCAGAGGGTGATGAAATTAAGTCAGCCTCAGCTGATGCTCTCTAGAAGTACACCCAGAAGCCATTTGTTCACAAGTGGAATGAACGGGTCGCGGTGTTGAGCCGTCTGTTGTGGTTTAACCCCAGCCGGCAACTAAGCACCGCACAGCCGCTCGCTCACTCCCCCCCGGTGGGATGGGGGAGA